AGTCTGTAAGAATATATTGACATTAAACAAAATACGAATACAAATATACATCATAAACAAAATACAATATAAATACTTGTAAGAATAAATAAAATTACACGTTATGTTACCACTAACTCAATAATAAACTCAATACAGCACCCTTATATTAAACAACAAAAATAATAATACTGTAACCCTCTTCCACTGGTTACTTCCAGAGTTAGAGGATAGATCCGGTAGGTGATGGCGGGACATATGAATATTTACACACATATATATATATATATATATATATATATGTATAGAGAGAGAGAGAGAGAGAGAGAGAGAGAGAGAGAGTATGTACATAGTTTTGATACCAGGGTTAAAAATTACTTATCCCACGTTGTTTATTAATTCTTAAATAAAATTGAGTTGTAGTGTATATCCTCCCAAAAAGGCAATAAATTTCTTTTTATTTCCAAAAATTATGAACATTATATCATTGTAAAACATATTATGTCATTGACACAAATAATTTCAGACTGAATCTGAGTGCCAGTATAGTAAACTATACAAAAGTATAATATTTTTTTGGTAGGAGCAATTAATGCAGAAAGCTCTCAAAGAATGCAATAAATAACATAGCTTGAAAATTTAATTAATATATAAGCCATAAAAACCAGAATTCTTATAATAAGACCTTGTTATTTTCTCTTCTTTTTTTCGCAGTGTTCTCTTGGGGGATTCCCAACTCTAATAATGATTATGTATTCCATTTTCATTTTTGGCCCAATTAAAGAGACAGTTTATTTTTGATTAATTTACTTAAAATGCAATATAAAAATTCTAAAAATTTAATTAACAACGTTAGCTAGGTTGGGGAGAGGAAGCTGGAATGTTAAAAGGTCGGTATTTGACACGCAATGGTTATCCCGGCTTTGGTCTTAATTTTTAAAATATTATTTTATATATTTGATGGCTTAAAGATTTGCAAAGAGGCTTAACTTTTGCGATATCCAACACGTTGGTAATTAAAGGCGTAAATCCTCTTCATATCAAGAAAGATTGATAGTACAGAGCATAGTTAAATATGATATACTTAATATAAATGCATAATATCAGATTACAACAAGATAAACATATAACGCTAGTATAGATTTGTCTTTGAAGTTGCATAAACATTGAAAATGGCCCGGGTGTTTTTCAAAGGGAACAGTGGCACTGGCAAATCGAGGGGGAATTCCGACCGCGATCTCCTGCTAAGCAGGTAATGGAATGGGCCATTTTAGTTTCACTCCGTTTCCTTTAAACGAGGGGATCCAGACCATTTCCATATATTTGCTTCCTAATTGAAAGATTATCCCTGGTGCCGGTGTAAGGGGTCCCAGTGAGACGCGACGAGATTATAACCGTTTCTCGGGGACGATTTGAGGCAAATTGGAATTCCGTCTGAGTTTCAAAATGTACATTTCCAAAGACGTAATACCGCCGTGCAACACTCCTCGAAAAGCGTGTTAGCGATTTCAATTTCCCTCGGAAAGTGAAGTTGCCGGCTCATTTATCTTTTAACGTTTCTAGATGTGAAGCACAAGGAAAAATCTGGCGGTGTCTCGATGAAATATAACCCCATTCTCCTTTTCGCATTACCGCTGCAATTCAATTGTATAACAATGGCATGAGGTCTGTTATGATATACACGAAAATATAGTAAATGTTTACAGCGATTAGAAATGGCGCAAGTCAAAGTTTAACAATAAAAAATAGGTTGGAAGCGCTTTTTTATTATTTAACATTTCAGTCCTTGTTAAACTGTACTTACATAAGTAAAAGCAACGTAATTAGTAAATATAATATAATTGCACCATTTTATATATTTCCTGTATACTTTATTTTCAAATAGTTTCTTTGCTGCTTTTATATTACATTTAAGAACGTTTGTATATGTGCTTATCAAGTGGCAAGCCTAATAAAAAAGTTAACTTAATACTATAAAAATATTGTTCACTGTTTTAATAAATTAAGCTACTAAGCGCAAACATTTGCTTCTGAATTTGGCAGAAACAAGCCCTTTATGTCTTTTTTTATAAATACATAATATCATAACAGTATGAAAACCTGATTGTTAGTGATTTGTACCAAAAATGCATATAATAGACCCGAGGAGTTCAAGGACTAATTACATAAGGTAAACTTCGGTTAAGCTAACATTAACCAACCTTGCCAATGCAATGAAAGATAACTTGTTGGGCTCGAGTTATTATTCATAGGTCATGCTCACTTTACAAAAGTTGGATAATGGAGAGAAAACGTTAGCACTGAATTTGTTGTACACGATGTCTGATTAGTACTTTTTTTTAAAATTCAGCTTTTAGCCAAATGTTTTCTTACGTTTTCACTAGTTAAATCTGTACGCTTTATAGCCTATTTACAGCGACTTTATAGTTGCGAGAAGGTTATACAAAGTAGGAAAATAAATTTTGGTGATATTTCAATTATTCATTTAGAGTGTAGTGACTATTATTTACCACCACTACCAGTGTACCACCACTCATGCAACTTTGATATTACGTACCAAGGAACTCTGATATTTTTTAAATAAAAGTGGAGAAACTAACCACTAGCTGTACTCCAATGACACTTCAGTGTTGTCTATTTTATTGACTCACTATGACTGCATACGAGATCGCACGGCCATCGCCTCAATTTCGGCGAGGAGGGTTGGAAGCAGTCAGTGAGATGTGAGTTTTTGGATTTAAAGCGAAATGTGGTTGTGAGGTTTTTGTGAAACTTGTGATAGTGTAGTTTCGTTGGACATATGAAAAAGAGAATCAAGCGATTATGGATTAAGCAGTTTGGATGCGGAGGATATTGGAATGTTTGAATGAACCACATATTTCCAGCCCTTGGGTCGATATCGGTTTCACTATAGTGTTACGAAAGCAGGGTTTTATTTGAGCTATCGAAAGGTACGATAGAGCGTTTATCAAGTAGTCATAAAAAAGTGTATTTCGTTTCATAACTTCTGACGTGTGTGGGGATTTTACGTCAGACGGTTGTCAATCTATAGTTCCAGGCAACGCACCATTTCCGCAGTTGAAAGAGAAATATGAGTTAATTCTTTTTCCTCCAATTCTATGAATATGAGTTTGTGACGCTGATCTTATATATCCGTTAATTTACACTAATAGAATTTTTAAATATATTATACTTTAAAAGGGGGAACTTGCATATTAGTTTCGTAAAATTCGGCATGGTTTTCAAATATCGAGGGTCATTTGTTTTTCTTTGATGATCACATGTGAACATCGAACGTATTCATACAAAACAGAAAATATGTAGTAATATAGTTTTAATGTCGTAGTCAAAACTTAAGATGAATCCGAATTAACGCGGGCGGCCCCTGTGGTCCTCATTTCGTCCAGATCCCATTTACTCTTGAGCTCTAATTGGCGCACTTGTTCGAGGTTCAGATCAATCCATTCGTCGGCCAAACACCATACTTGCCTCGAAAACTTCAAGAATATATTTTTCTCGATTCCCTGAAGGAAGTTTTCGATATGAGACTGAAGGCCGAAAACGCTGAAATCGACGGAAACTAGTTTCACGCAAGTCATCAGCGGTGTCGTCGTCTTGATCCAGTCTGCGGCGAGGGGACCGCGGTTCCGCTTGCGCATCACATACGTCTGTGGGTTGTGGGTTCTGCACTTGGGGAAAGGGTCGTTAGCTATGTCTATCTCCACCACTTCTCTCTCTCTCAAAATTTCTGGAGGGAGCTGGAGAATGTTGTCGTCAACCGTCGACCCTTCGACGTGCATGGACTCGATTTGTATGGACAGGTTCCTAAAGCCGTTCGGGTTTGTAATGAGAGTCTTGCAGTAAGGATACGCGTTCCAAGCCTCCTCGACGAACTCCAGGCTTGTCTTAGGTAGCATGAAACGCAATTTGGACGGTATCCTTTGGCTCAGGTGGTACCGTTTTTTCGTGTAATTTCCAGAAGTGTACTTACCACCCAACAGAGGGATGCCTTCAAAAGGCTCGTCGACAAGCACTTCGATGCCCTCACCACCTCCCGTTTCGAGCTTGGACGCTTCAATCGTCGTGTACAGCTGGCCTATCTGATATTCCTGCAGAGACAAAGGCATCACGATCCTGTATTCCTTGATCAACATTTTTCTGCCGAAGGACGCGCCTCTTCTAACTGTAACGGGAGGAAAATTTAAAGAAGGAAATAACCTCGACAGGTATTATCCCGCCCCCCACATCTCATATTTTTACTTAATAAAAAATAATTTTTATCCAATCTGTTCGCTTTTTATTATTTAAAACTACCACATGGTAAATAAATGTTATTAAATCTTTTTTGTTGTCAATAAATTCAAATATTTACTTTTTGTATTTTAACTACTTCTTACATTTCCGTACGCAATGTTTTATGTAAACCGAAACAGAACGGGATTTTACAATTAATTATGATTACAAATGATTGCTTGAACCAAAGTATTGTTTATTTCAAGAACCTATAAATTGTGTTAACGTAAAAGTTCCTGTCCTAAAAAAAGCACTGATAAGATAAGAGATGGTCTGAAAATATGTTAAAGGAAAGACCCAAGAGGATGCAATATTAAGTTAGTAACTGTGGGGAGGAGGGGATTTCTTACTAAAGCAGCTTTCTCTATACGGTAGAAGGAAAATTCTATTAAATTAACCTTTCTCTCCGCCACAAAAAAGAAACACACACGTTGCTTTTTTAGAACGCCGTATTGTATGCAAATCGAGACACGTGAGCGGTTTACACCCGTTAACAGCGTTCAATTTAATTTTTTCAAACACTTTGCTTTTTCTTCCCAAGGCGGGAAATCATTGAGCTAAATAGGCAGAGAAAGGAGTTTAAATACAATATAAATCAATATACTCTCAATTGGCCGTATTAATTAAACCAATTAATTATACATTTTATTTAAGTTCTTAGTTGAGATATGAAAACGGTTCGAATCTCGCTCGTAACACTAACGTTTTCATCTCAACCAAGACCTTAGATAAAATGTATAATTAATTAATGCAATATAAACGTTCAAATCCCAGCTTAGCCCTCCCCCACCGTCTTTTGTTGTAATACAACTATAATAAAGAAATGTTTTTAATTATATATAGATCTTCGTATTTTCGTGCACACGGTATGGATTGGAAATATTGGAACGAATGTATTTATTTGCGTGAATGGAGGGCTTATCTACCGATTACCCTGAGGAATATTGAATACGTTGGGGTAGTGTGAATGAACGTGTGAATGTAATTTATTAGCGTGAATATTATCCCCCAATCATCCCTAGGAAGCTCTCAGACTTAATACGTGTGAATGCTAATCAGACTATCATGTTTTTGTGTTTCTATGTATTTGCGTATCTTATTTGTGTTATTTTATCCAAACTGACGAGGCCCTGAGGTACAGAGAAGCTAGCAATAGAATAAAGAATAGAGGGAGTTGTTTACAGTTATTTCGTGAAACACCATAACTTGGCTAGAGAATCAATAAAAGAAATTAATAGGTCTAAACCGCGAGAAAGATCAGAAAATAGCATAGCTAAGGAAGAGAGAGCTGGCGAGGATCAAAGTAGTTTGCCGACCCTAAAACTTACAAAAAAAATATTCTAAAATACAATTTACATAGAATAATGTATTTTTTACAATTTCTTACAAATAAATATAAAATTCACTTCCAACACTTTTTAATTGGACAAACAATATTATTACAATTGTATAAAGTGGCAGGGAAAATAAAAATGACGTTATTATTAAAATAACGTTTTAATTAAAATTAAAATAACGTTATTGCATTTTACTTGGTGAAGGACCGAACTAAGTATAAAGGAATTAGAAAGCAGAGCTGTGGTCAACGCCGGCCTTCTACGCGTTGCGAAAAAAAGAAAAGAAATACCAACCTAAAGAAGAGAGGGCTGGCGATGTCCAATGCAGTTTGCCAGCCATAAAACAAAAAATTTTAAAAATACAAAGGAAACATTGAAGGTAAGAAGATATGGTAATAAATTATATTTATTCGTAGATATTATTATAATGTTTTTCGTACGAAAACTACTCAAAATTGAATAGGGTTATTCCAAATTTTGTAGTATTTACTTTCCCCAACATTTTTATTTTATTTTTGGTATAAATTGCATTAAAATGTATTAGGAATTGTTATGTTTTTTACAGAAAAAAATTTAATTAAGGGATATTGAAAAATAAAAAAATAAATGGTTTTAATTCCATAATTTTGTTTATAGGACACAATAATTTTTTTTCGAATAATATGATGTAAATATCCTCTGCTAGCTAATACCTCTGTGTACCTGTTAGGCGTACTGTTAATAAGATTGCTATTAACTTCATAAGGAATTTCACTCTATAGATGTTGCAACGCTACTCAGTAGTTGTAGGTCAACTGGCTGCGGATGGTGATCGTAAAGCCTTCTCTGCAACGTATCCCACATGTCCTCAATGGGATTGAGGTCTGGAAATAATGGGGAAAGAGGCAGACGGGAAATTCCTAGTTATTTTAAACAATGATGAACACCTCTGCCTCTATGAGATCTGGCGATGTCGTCCAGAAATCGAAAATCCCTGCCAATGAGATTTTTGTTTTGAGGGATTCCTGGATAATTTCTTGCACAAACGGACTGCGGTGAGGTTGTCTTCAACTATATGGACGCTAGTTGGTCCTCCAGTATAAATTCCACCCCAGACCGCCTCCTCCAAATTGCACCTGGGGGAGCACGATCTGGGGCATTGTACGCATATCATGTTCTCGGTAGACTCTTCGGCGCCTGCTATCACTATACAGACAGAAACGCGACTCATCAATAAAATAACAGCATTCCAATTGGTGTTCTTTTCTAGGTGCTCGCTGCACCTGAGTTATTAATGTGGAAGTACGACGACGGGTGGTACAAACGTGGTTAAAGCTCGGGGCCCAAGAAAGGTGTACCTCGTGTCCTCATCTACGACCCTTTCTCAATCCAGGTTCCTTCATTCTTCCCTGCGACCTCTCCCAACCCTTGGTTACAAGGGGGTGTCCGGCGCAAAGAAATGGTGTAGCCCTGAGGGCGTGGCAACCTCTCTAAAGCACAAGCTGTACTCGTGTCGGCCTCGGGTCGGCTTAGGGCGGCGGGTGCTTTATCAGAAGCACACATGGGTTAGGGTACCAGATCCTGTCTGCATAGACGGGGTAGGGTGCATAACCATGTGTACAACGGGGTAACAGAAATGTTCTAAGGTTCAGCCCCTGTTACACTGGGAATGGACTCGTAGTTGGCCGTGGCGACACCCCTAGCTCGTACCTGGAGAAAAGGCTGTTTTCTATCTGTGACCTTCGCACGAAACCTGCGTATGACCATCGTTATGCACCCGGCCTCACGGGATACGACAGATCGGACCGAAGCGTATAAGCGTTAAGGACTCTACGATTACGCTGACAGCGTCCATTGAATGCGTGAGTAGTGGCGAATGAAAATGGGTAGTGAATCGGTTGCTCCTATTTAAGTATGCTTTGCACGCAGGTGTAGGCTGTGCTCGATAGGCGGCTTTTACCGTATGCAGTCTCCACTAGGGGGTGATTAGCAATTCCACTTTAAACGAAACCGCGGCCGGAGCGGATCCGGAAGTTTCTACGCTGGGGGAGCCTCAATACTCTGAGAGACAGAGTGGCCTTCTCTATCTAGAGAGTGCGCGGGAGACCAGGCTGATGTATTTCGGCTTAGGTAGCCCTTTGCGCGCGGCATACGGTTCGATGCTTAATGCGGACCCGACCACTCGGAATGGGCAATCGGGGAGCGAGGTTGTCTTGACCCTTCGGGGCTGAGCTGCCTCTACACCATGGTGCGGCAGTAACACCATTCTGTCGTATGTGGAGGTGCGTCAGCTCTCATCTTGAGAATCAAAACGTCCGATAAGGCCAAATAAGCTAAGTGCGGACGTCTAAAGATCTTTACTGTCCTTTTTAGGACGACCGAGTATACAGGAAAGATTCACCTGAGTTGCTGGGGGTGGGCTGTTCAGGTCGCATCAATACGAGGCCAACTTCTCACTGATTACGAATCAATTGTGTTGATAAAGACCTCGTCATTTGTTTGTTTTTGATTTGTATTTTCTATTTTCTTTCATCCAACTAACAAGAATATAACGGTTAATTTAACTAAAATTAATTGAATAAGAATAAATTACAATGATATTCATATTCATTTTTGAGCAGTATAGTTTAAAAAACTGCTAATTACAGAATTGAGTTGATAATGTTTAAACAATCAGGATGGCCTTTTAAGAATGTAACTGAAACTTAAATGTCACTTGTGTTATAAATTTTCAAGTTCTATGTCGTCTTAAACATTAAATGTTTTTCTGGAACGATTTTCGATCTAGACGTAATTTCAGAATATAATTATTTTGAGATATTTTGAGTAATTCATCTCAGGTTTGTTTATCCACTTCCAAAAATCCAGATTTCACACTTCGACGTCTTTTCGATATTGGTCTGAAATCTGAATCTGATCCCAGTAATGGCATCCTGCCGAGAAATCCCTAGTAGTTGATTTGGAATCCACATCTCAGTTATTGGATGGGGCGTTAGTGGAACCGCTTACCATATTTATTAGGTCTCGTGCAGAATTGACTCGATTGACGTCTATAACGGCCCCCGCGGCAAATTGCCGGTTGTTAGCTCCTCATTCCACCTTATATCCTCGTCGCCAATCTTGGTATGGTGAGAAAGAACCGGGGTTTCTTGGCGCAGCACTTTTTCTTAATGGCACGGCTTCTTCAGTATTTTTTATTTATTTTTTTAACTTAAACTACGGTTTTATTCGACTTAGAAACTTTTATCACGTTAGCCATTGCTACCATAAATCAGAGTTCCATAAAAATTGTTTTTCTATACACTTACTTCATATCGAAAAAACGATTGTTTAAAAATGCAAAAGTCTTATGTATATACTTTTTTATGATTTCAAGCATTCACTGCCACTACGATAATGGAAGAATATATTTTTTTAAATATATTCCCGACCCATCATGATTAGAATAATCTTTACGGAACTCATGAGAACGTCATTTATCATAAAATGGGACAAATGTCGTGTGGAGTTACAGAACTACAACGGACTGTAATGCTAAATTGCTT